GTTCTATCTGCACATTACTGCTCTGCCTAACAATCATAAGCAGGTATGGGGTGACCATTACATCTCTTCCATGCAATTGCGAGATTCCGAAAAAACAAATGAAAATTCTAATTAAAATGGATGCAACATATAAGTGCTACATATAACTGCTACACAAACTATTTTGTAATTTAGGGGGAAAAAAAAAAAAAAAAAAAAAAAAAAAAAAAATCTATTTTCCCCATCAGAAACTGAAAACTTCATACAGCTGGTCCAGCATACAGTTTATCGATGAGGAAGTTATGGCAGTGGCAGCACAGGTTTCCTCAAAAAGGTGGACAACAGTGTGCCATGCCTGCCTAATGTGTTAACCTCACATATGTGGCCTCACTGAAGTGGCTCTTCTTCCATGAGCTAGCATATATGTGTATCAGTATTGGTGCTGGGAGAGTGTCCAGGCTCTCACAGATCGCTGGGTCTCATTATTATACAGGAGTTATATACCGTCAATAGTTTGCGCAACACTTTACAACATGAATACTAACGATCAGGGACCGGGACTCCTGGTTCCCGGTCACCTGATTGCTGTGATAGCTTCTGATTGGCTATCACAGTGATCACAGTGATCAGTCAATGCACAGCCCGCCCGTGTTTTTCTTTTTCCTCTGAATCGGGAGGAGGATACATTGCATCTTTCTCTTCTTGCAGGGGAAAAAGATGAGAACAAAAGTGTGTAAAGAAAAAATAAAAAAATAGCTAGCTCAAGGTTTGATCTAGCTCAGTGTCGGATTCAAAGTATATTTTGGGGAAGGGTCAGTATATTTTGGGTAGAGTTATTTAAAAAGAAAAAAATGAAAAAGAAAAAAGGCATTATTTAAAGGAGAAGTTCAGCTTTTGGAACATGTGACATGTTCCACCCGTTTTTAGGGTGGAACACGCATCGTGTTCCCACCACTGCAGCCGCTGCCCGATCCCCTCCTCCCTGTGACAGCAGTACGGGGAGAAATTCCCTGTACTAGCTGTCACTTTTTGAAAACATTTCAGCTGTGCGGGGCTCAACCCACAGGGCTGCGTCATCAATTCAGAGATCCGTGAATGAAAGAACTACAAGTCCCGACAACCCTTGTGGCTGTTGACTTATAGTTCTCAATGACATGCCACAGCACTGTTGAGCACTGTGCTAGTTGAGTTTTCCTGTCAGACTGTATCTGCTTCCCCATATGGGAGGAACGCACACACAGATACCCTGACATGTCTGCAGGAGTCCTGCATGGCACCAGCAATGTGCTGATCACTGGCGCAATGCATTCCAGGCTCAAAAAGGAAAAAAAAAAAAAAAAAAGTAAAATTCACATTTTTTTTACCTGATGCACACAATTTTTTTTCTGGGCCCTACTACAGGTACAAACAACATATAACAACATACACTTATGGTACCGCTGCAATCCTCAGGATAATTTATTTTGGGTTTTCCTTTGGTGTAATGTTATGGTAATAGAAATATACAGCTAAATTAAAAAAATAGAATTCCTTTACTATTTTGGACGTTTATCTTTTAGAATAGAAAAAAAAAAAAAAAACCAATCAGGAGATATCCATTACCATTTACCACCAAAAGAAAGCCCAATTTGTACTGAAAAAAACAAAGCATAATTCACCTAGATACACAAAGTAGTTGTGATAAGTACAGCTTTACTAATGCATGTCAAAGTTGAAAAATTGTTTTCAAGTAGTAAAAGAGGTGGATGTTACTTCTTCCCCCCTCTCCACCCCCCCCCCACCTACTAAGTGTGAGAACTCAGCGATCACATGACGGCTGATTGCTGAGTTCTCACAGACGGTCACCACTTCTGGGGGTGGTTGGTTTCAGGCTCTCAGTGGCTCACTGAGAGGCTGAGCCTGATGCAGCTCCAGACCGTGGGGTGGATCCCGACTTTAAAGTCAGGATCTTTCCCCAGCCTGGACTGGCTGAGGGACGTCAGCCTGCACTGGCTGACAGTGGACTTCCGTGGACTGACAGCTGAAAGAGTGTAGAACGAACTGCACTCCTGTGATCCACAGGAGAAAAACTGCCTAAAGAGGTTTGGCTGTACTTCTCCTTTAGGACAGCAAAGAGAAATTTTCTTTTTATGTTGTGGAGCAGGACGTAAGGAAGAAGGGACAATGTCCTTGTTAGGGTGGAAAGAAGAGACCACCTTCAAGAGGAAGGGAGATGTAAGCTTCTATACAACCTTGTCCTTGTTCAATGTTAAAAATCAATCCTTACATGATAGGGCTGCTAACTCAGAGAGCCTCTGTGCAGAAGTGATCGTAACAAGGAAGGCCACCTTGTGAGTTTGGTCAGACAAGGGAATATTCCTAACAGGTTCCAAAGGAGGCTTCGGAGGAGCCAAGATTAATCGCCAAATTCACCTTTAGCAACATGTTACACCCATATTTAGGCTAATCACAAGTCCCATTCACACCAAGTCTACCCCCCTGACAGTGGATGGGGGCTCCTCTCCCCCTCAGTCGTTGTCGTACTTAAAATTTACACGGCTATGCGGGGCTTCACCCACATAGCTGCATCATTCATTCACAACAATCTGTAAATGAATGAACTACAAGTCCCATCTGCCCCCAATGGACCACGAGGGTGCCAATCAGCACTCTTGCCCTTTTCCCTTGGAATTGAGATCTACCATGTTTGTGAAATATTGTCCTCAGAGGGGTACTCTTGGGCCAGAAGAGCTTTCAGGTCCAAAGTCACACCAAAAAAGAGGAAGAGGACGGGCACACAGCTGCAGTAAATTAACTAAAAGTGAGGCAGTGCAGGTACACCAAGTACCCGTACCGCACAGGTGCACTTGGCGCCCCAAGGGGGAGGCCTGCAAATGCAATAGCACAGGCACAGACATGCAATTACAGTCAAAATTGCTTAAAATTTAAAGAAAACATGGTGCTCCTGGCTTTCAGAAGCAACCACAAGGGTGGTCGACAAACAGACCAAAAAAAAAAAAAAAAAATGGAGTAACCTGGGCATAAATGTTAAAAGGGCGTCTGCCTGTACCCACCTCCTAAGCATCTGTAGGCAGAATCAACAGGGAAATTACCCCATCCTGGCTTTACTCAGCACAATGGGCCTACCCCAAACCAGAAGACGATAGCCCTAACCTGTAAAGCACCCCATTGATAACTCCACAAGCTGCACTACAGACGTGCCTACAGCAAAATTATAGGCTGGCCCTGCTTCTACTATCCTGCAGGGTCCAGGTATGGTCCCACAAGGCTCAGCTGAGGAGTCAACTGAATCAGACGCTGCAGTGGTTATGGTGCAGCAGGAATCTTGATAGAGAGAAACCTCCGTAGAAAGAAGGTAAGCTTCTCTCAGGAGGGGGAAAGAGGTGATTAACTTAAGGACATTAGCAAAAAAACGAGAGGCTAGCTATGAAAGGGAGGAGTTATATAGGGGAAGGTTCCTATAACCCTTTTGCCAGTGTCTAATCACCTTAGGCAGCCCTAGATAGCCCAGTTGTAATGATTAAAGAGCCAGTGTCTCATGCTGTATGATTAAGTCTTGTCTCTTACTTCGCTGACATCTGGCAGGGATGTGGATTTCCCCGTCACTGCCTTTATAACGTAGATACTTCCTATTGACTGTCCATTAGCAGGGTCCTCTCAGTATTTAGAAGAATAGTGACATCAGCACAAGGGGACTGTAGAGGACTGGTGGTCCTGAACACATTTGCTGCACTGGGTTAGCAGTCCCTAGCACGCAGAAATAGTGTCAGTGTTTAGACTTAGCGCTGACAAAATGTAAACTCTCATGGATCGTGATCAACAAGAAGACAGTCATCTTATGTGATACCTCTACCAGGTTTGAGCAAATCTGGAGCCCATGGATTAGTTACTTACAGACTCCACCTTAATAATAAATCCTCTCCCTTTGCTTGGATTGGTGGGCCTGTTGCATGGGTGGATTATGTCTGTCTCTCTCTTTGCTCTTCCTTCCTTATTCCCTTTTCCTCCTTCCTATTCATCTCTCCACATTTTGCCCTATGATGGATTAATGTCCTATTATGACTTAAAGATGCATTGTGTAGCACCCTGCTTTTTTTTTTTTGTGTCTGTTATCTACTGAAACAAAATGGAGCAGTTATCAGGCTCTAGTTCACTTGAGCTGCTCCTGTAGAGTTAGCATACACATTCCCTTGCTCAGTTCTTGACTTTCTCTGGTATCTCCCTTTCAAGGGTAAATTTCAATATTTGGGTTTGCTGCACCTACTGTACATGTTAATATATACTTTTTTTTTTTTTTGTGTCTACCTACATTTGCGAGTTCCTTTTGCAGTTACAATCAAGGGCTTATTATAACCTATTTGTATGTAAATCTTCAATAAAAACATTGAAACAAAGAAAAACTCCTCCAGTGTGGATCAAAGTGAAATGGGAGGGAGTGGGTTACATTTTTACCTGTTTTGTAGGGCTTTAACAAAAGCCACATATTTAAAAAAGATCCTGAAAAAAGAAAAAAACTTTTGAAATTACATTAACCTGCTAAAGCTTATATGAGAGTTAATCAATTGGGTTTAAATCTCGTTTAAGACACTGCAACATTATCGTAGGCTTACAGATAGTCAGCAGATAGATCACTTTTCCCATTATATACAATATGACCACAGATCAGCCCAGCATATACAATATTCCTGCCTAGGGCAAACAATATGTAATCTAAAGCTATTAATCATGTAATTAAACCACCACCTGGATTAGCAGACTGCGAAGAGGCATCCCTGTTTATACAGAGCTCCAGTAAATGGCTCTTTGGACAGACAAGCTTCCCAGAACGGAGTACAAAGTGTGATGTGTTATGAAGAGCTCTGAAAACATGGCATAGGTACCACTACAAACTATTGTAAAGGTCGCCTGTTCAGAGGACAGACAAGGGACACTCATGCAACTCCTAATGAGATGTAGATAAAGTCTGTGTCAGCACATTTCAGGCCTGTGTTCACACTCACAGCTTGGCAAACTTCTCTTACCTGATCACTTTCACACTCCAGCTCTTTCTGAAGAACGACAAAAGCACATCGCGTATTCATCATAATCTCCAGAGCTCCACACAGGCTCTTCACTTTACCCGCAGTGCTGTTCTGGCCTGGAATCAAGACAACACATGCAGTAAAGTCATCTGACGCCATTATAAAGGGAGTATATGAGACAGCACAGAAACCTGATGTAGCTACAAAAAAAGTTTTCAAAGCCCATTTACACTTCTGTGCATATGGACGACAGAGTCATGTACTCCTGTAAAGTTAAAGTGTTATGTTTCCAATTATAATACATTTTAAAAGATAACTCCAGCCAAAAAGTAAAAAGGAAACAAATACAGAAACTGGTCTATCAAAGAATTTGGCAAACAACATATATATTATCTCGGTCCTCTACAACTGCACAGAAAAAAAGGGGAAGGACCTACTAAGTGTAGCATAAAGGACTATTTATTAATATAAAAAACTAGTAACTAATGAAAGTGAAAAACAGCAAGCTCATCAAGATGAGAGAAACAGCTACTTCCTGTTTGATGGCCCCGTCCCTGCCTCTGCTCTGGGGGACAGCTACCACTACTATCCACAGACTATTGTCAGAGACTATACGGACTTCATTGTGATATGTATGCTCCTGGGGCAGACCTGATTGGTCTGTGCGCCAGCTCTTTTACCTTTCTTTCCACACTTCCTGGCTGCTCTGTTTGGACTACCAGCACGCATTTTTACGACAATGGCAACACCCACCTTAAAGGCCAATTCCACCTTTCCTACCATGTTACATGCACCTATATTTAGGGTGTAACATATAGCATGGTGCCAAGCCATGGCTCCACCGGCACAGCTGCATCATTCATTCACAGAAATCTGTGAATGAATAAACTAAAAGTCCTGTCTGCCACTGCAGCAGAGGGACATGTACTTATCAATAGAACACAAGTGTGATCACACTTCCTGCAGCCCTGTAACCAAAGGTCTGTACCTTGATACAGACCAGAGACTACAAAAAGAGTCTGCAGGAGCGCCTGTGCATTGTAATGCTTTGCAGGCTCCTATGCATAAAATGAATAAATAATAATAAAACAAATACCTGAATTTGCTGGAAAAAAACTGTGCATTTATTATCACCGAATCTGTACACAGACAAATATCCAAATTGTACTCAAAGTGAATCTTCACTGTTATAAAAAAAAAAAACAAAAAACAAATTCTGAAGCCTCCGGGGGTATCCCCATCACATATTCCAGGAGGTTGAAGCAGCAGGGACATACAACAGCTGGAAGGCAGATCTGATGGTGTGTCATCAGAGGCCAGCTGCAAGAACATGGAAGAGCCAGCTCCCAATGTTACAAGAAGGAAAGATGTGCATTGTGTATTACAAAGATGAGCTGTATGTACTGCAATGTCCCTGTTTTGTCTCTTTAAAAATACAGCAGAAAAATGACAATCCTGAAATCCAGTGAGCCAACTTTCTGTAATAAACTGAAAACATATCTTCTACTGGATTGAAAACCCAAGCAAAGACACGCCTGCCCGTGTGGCTCATGTTATACCCACATACTCTCCGACTTGCTTTCGGGGTTGTCAACAAATAGGCACCATGGCCCATATTTGGTGGACTTGCCCTAAGGTTTGCAGACTGTGGATCAGGGTTGATGCCCTTCTCCGCACGGTTTCACACAAACATTAAGCGCAACCCTTATGAAGCACTATTATTTAAACCATTAGTGGGCCTAATTCATCCTGAACGGCAGCTGGCATCACATTTATTCATGGCTACCAAACGGACGATCGCGAGGGCTTGGAAGACCGCCCTCCTCAGCTTCGAAGCTGTCAAAAATCGGATGAATTTTATAATGGTTAATTAAAAATTGACGGCTATACTGCTAGACACCCACACAGTTTCTGCAGACCTGGCATCCCTGGCTTGATATAGCCCAACCGTCGAGATTTGACCAGTCCCTCGTTATGTCGATATAAGATTTATTTTATTTTTTTTTCTTCTTCCATCGCGGTCCCCCTGGAGCCCTTTCTTTGTCTTTTGTCTCTTTTGCTTTTCTGCTCAGTCTGTTTTCATGATATTTGTGTTGATTGTAATTTTTGATTCAAGTACCGTACCAGCAATACTATATTTACCTGTCTGACTTCATTGGGAGTCCTGAGTATAGAATACCAATATGCATTCAGCGAGGCTCCGTGTTCCATCTTTCCTGCCTTCTGTATGCAGATTTTGTGATAATCTTTTCTCTTAGTTTATTAACTCATTGGTCTCTAAATGTCTACCATTTTGGCAACTTATTGTTTTATTTTCCCTCTTTATATATTGCGCTTGTGTACTAAGTTTGTTTCCTTGTATATACATCAGTATATTCCCTGTATTATTCATCAGAAAACTTGTATGTGGACAGCACAGTGGTTAAATGATTAGCACTTCCGCCTGGCAGTACTAGGGTCGTTGGTTTGAATCCCAGCCTCGGCACCTCCTGCCTGGAGTTTGCATGTTCTCCCTGTGTCTGGGTGGGTTTCCTCCAGGTACTCCGGTTTCCTCCCACACTCCAAAGACATGCTGGTACCCTGTTTCCCCGAAAATAAGACCTACCCCAAAAATAAGACCTAGTACTGTTTTTGGGAATTGCTGAAGTATAAGACCTACCCTGAAAATAAGACCTATTTGTGATCAGCTGTTCCACCACCTCTGGCACTGGCCCTATGTACACCAATATCTACTGTCTCTTATAAACACAGAAGAGTGGCTTTTGTGTTTCCAAGTGACAATCCCTCTTGTAAGTAACAGCACCATCTGCTCCCACAGAACCCCCCTACCTCTGTACTCACTGTTGGACAGGGAAGGAACAGATATCTGAGGGGGCAGTGTGTTTAGGGGTGGGGCGGGGGCAGGGCATCTCATCCTGCAGCCTAATGCATGGAAGCCAATGCCCCAGGGGTGATCACTGGCCAGTGAGGAAGAGGCGGAGTGGTGAGTGCGGTTGGTGCACTGTGTGGGAAGATAGGACCCGAAGCTCACTTCTGCATTCCCTGCAACTCACCCCTGCACTCTGTCTGTGGCTCATCTCTGCACCTTGTTTGAAACTCACCCGTCAATTCAGCTCTGGAACACCTGACTGCAGCTCGCAACTGTCACCTGTCATCAGCCAGCCCTCTCTATAGTAACCCTCATCCACAACTGCCTGCAGCTCACCTCTGCACCCCCTGTCCACACCTGTACATTAAAAAAATAAGGCCTACCCCGAAAATAAGACCTAGTGTGTTTTTTTGAGCCAAAAAAATATATTACAGAGTCTTATTTTCGGGGAAACGCGGTAGGTTAATTGGCTCCTGTCTAAATTGGCCCTAGTACGGTATGTGTATGTATGAATGTGAGTTAGGGACCTTAGATTGTACGCCCCTTGAGGGTTAGGGACTGATGTGAATGTACAATATATATCTGTAAAGTGCTGCGTAAACTGATGGCACTATATAAAGTACCTGAAATAAATACATTTCTGTTGGTCAGTGCTTCTGTTTCTGACTGTTTCTCTGATGTTATCTATTCTGCAATAAAATTAATTGTAAAAGAAAACCCAAGCAATGCCTGAACGTTTTTCTGATGGACTACAGAACATCTCTGGAGATGAGGAATGGGGCAGGTGCTCTGTAGTCTAACACTTCCTGTCCAATGCAGACAACACTGCCCCATCACAAATATATTACAATGAACAAGTTCTTTCACCCTAGGACTGAAAAAGTGTTACTGACAGAAGAACCAGCTAAAAACAAAGATGCCTGAAAAAATAAAAGACTATTGTAGCCACCAGATCTAAAAACTGGAAAGCTTCAAGATGTCATATTTCTGATCTCGGGTTTAGATACACTTTAAAGAGCGCATGTAGGAACGAAACAGCTAGCCAAAGCATGCTAAATACATCAAATATATCAGATGTAAAGCAGCTTATATGCTGGATCAATGCATCTCGTCGCTGTTCTAACAAACTCTGTATTTGCTGCTTAAGCCTCCAGCCTTTTCCAAGTGTTTGTCCTGCCACTTAGTACAGTGTTGGTGCTCCAAGCCCAGTATGAAATGAGGAAATGTCACCAAGTCAGCGGATTTACATAGCTCTGCACTACTGACACTGTTTGGCAGCAGCAAGTGTGAACAAGGCCGGGCAGAAAAAAATCTCTCTACTTTCCCAGCACAGCAATTTTTCAGTTGAATTAATCGGATTTGCAGATTTGGGGTAATTTTAGCCTGCAGGTCTATAATAGATGGGATAGGAGTCATCCATGTGAGGCGCTTTTATCATAATGAGCATCTTTGTTTGTATGTACCACACATGCTGCCTGTACATCTGTTCTTATAATACCCTCTGGCAGGGCACCCGCTGCACATGTTATCTGCATTGTGCTAGCAGAGCAAACTGAAAGCTGCAGAAGGGATTGTACGAACCTGGGAACAATCTATCAGAATGTCGCAGTATAGGCAAATGGGACTATTCACACAATGTATAGCTCATGGCACCTCGCTGCTTCGTACAGATCATGTCCTGTTCATGAATTACTCCTGCAGTGACTGTTGTCTCAACATTCATTTATTCCTCTGCTGGGGATCCACATATATAGTACATAATGGTGGTCCTGTCAAACAGTTAAGAGGCGTACTAATATATACACCAATAACAATGAAACTAACTGGGGCATTAAAGAGAAGCACCCATAAGTAGTCTTTTGTCAGAATTTAAACATTCAGTATTCTCTTATTATTGTGCAGATTTATTTATGAAAGACTAGCTTTACTTGAGGAGGACTCTGAGGACAAGCATGAGCTGAAAGGGCCATCTTCAGTGAAATCCACATGTTAGACTGAGCAATTATTATACATTATTATTATACAGTATTTATAAAGCACCAATAGTTCGCTCAGCGCTGTACATTACAAAGGGGGACAGAACATGTGACAGAACAATGCCAATACAATGCAGAACATGAGGGGATTGAGGGCCCTGCTCTTTGGAGCTTACAATCTAGAAGGGAGGGGAATAGATCCACAGATAAAAGTTAAAAGCGAATCTTAACCACTTCAAGTCCGAACACTTTCTTTCACCCCCTTCCTGTTCAGGCCAATTTTCACCTTTCAGCGCTATCACACTTTGAATGACAATTGCGCGATCATGCAACACTGTACCCATATGAATTTTTTAGCATTTTTTTGAGACAGATAAAACTATTTTTGCGGTATTTATTCACCACTGGGATTTTTTTTTTTTTTTGCTATATATATATGAAAAAGTCCAAACATTTTGAAAAAAAAAAGTGTTTTCTTATAAAATTTTGCAAATAATCTTTCTTCATAAATCTTGGCCAAAATGTATGCAGCTATTTTTTTTAGTAAAAAAAATAAATACAAAAACCCCCCTAAAATTATAATTTTTCAAACATTTTTATATTTAGGGTTTTTTTTTTTTTACCATACGGTCACCCTAGCAGTACAGTGTCACCATAGTGATACTGTACTACTTGTCATGGGTGATGAAGATTTTTTTTTTTTTTTTTATTTTACACTGATTGCTTTTACAGCCTTTATGGGTGTAAAAGCAATCATTTCTCCTTCTCTCTGGCTGCATTCTTGCAGCCATTGAGAAATACTGTTTTTGAGAAATTGAGAAATATTTTTTTAACATACTGTCACCCTAGCAGTACAGTGTCACCATAGTGACACTGTACTACTTGTGGCGGGGTGATGAAGATTTTTTTAATTTTTTTTTTATTTTACACTGATTGCTTTTACACTCAAAGGCTGTAAAAGCAATCATTTCTCCTTCTCTCTGGCTGCATTCTTGCAGCCAATGAGAAATACTGTGAGAGCTGTGATTGTTTTGAATAGCCTTGTACCATGTGACCTCAGTGATCATTCACAGATTTCACCAGTAGTAAACTATGTCGTCAGGAAGTGACATCTTGCTTACTACTATTCATGTGATCACTGATTGGCCAATCAGTGATCACATGATCGGGACCTCACACATAGGAGCACGCACAGGCAGTGAGTGCGGAGGCCGTTTATAAATGGCCACCCGCTACTGCACGGCTCCCGTCTGGTCGTTTATGTACATGGGCTGGACAGGAAGTGGTTAACCACTTGAGTACCATGCTATAATACCCTTTCATGACCAGGCCACTTTTCATTGCTGTGATAGTTTGACAATTATCAGTCATGCTATACTGCATCCAAATGAATTTTGTCTTATTATTTTTAGACAGTTTTTTCTTTCGGTACTGGATTTTTATTTTTTACTACTATAAAAAGGGAATAAAGATCAACATTTTTTAAACATGGGAGGATGAAGATGAGGGAGTTAATTTACAGGATAAGGGAAGTGAAGGGGTTAATGTACAGGCACCACAGAGACAGAATTCAGAAGAGATGAGTTCCGGGGGTGTGTGTGAAAGGGTTAAACACTCCCAAAAAAACATCCCACTGCACCTTAACCCCTTAAAGCTGGCGCCTCCCATCCGGGAGGCAGGGTGGGGATTCCGATCATGTGATTGTCACAGCAGTCACATGATTGGAAAGCTCCTGATCGCAAGTAGAGATCGGGAGCTTTCTGTTGGCCACCAGTAACTGTGCCGGGATCTCGCAGGGTGCATGCTCTCGGCGCAGCTCTGTTTAACTCTGGTACGCATATATGTGGCATCTCAGCGTTAATGCCACCGAGAAGCAGCATATATATGCATACCGTCGGCACAAAGAGGTTAAATCTGTTGCTATCAACCCACAAGAATGAGAATTTGTGAAATTTTCCTTCCTCTATTGTGAAGGGAAGGGGAGGGCTATCAAATATAAACAGTGGCATTGTTTACATTTGTGATTTCCCATCACAATGATCACAGGTACAGAATGACTGTGATTGGCTCAGTTTTTTGCCCTTGATCTGCCCTGTTTAATGACAGCATGATCATAGGCACTGTTTGCACGCTGGGTGCACACACAATGTAAACTCAGTGACATTTTAAAATTGCAGTCTGGAACACTGTGGCCACCACTCTTCCGTAGTGAAGCAGTAAGAGGGTCAAGGTAAGTTTTTGCCAAGTCCCGTCCAGTTTCCCTTTGTCCTTGGTGTGATAAGGGCACTGCGAGGCCAAACTCAACATTTATAGTCAAGATTAATGTGATAGGAAGTGTCACTGGGAGGATATGGAGGGGGTAAAACTTCTTCAGAAAAAGTAGAAATTTACACATAACTTCATCTACCAATATTGTATGTTCTACACATCACTTAAGCTTTAATCTACTCATAATAGCAATCAAGTGATTAATATCTTCTACTGCTTACACCCCGGTCACAGCAGGTGTGACTTGCATGTGATCTGCACGTCCTGCAACTTGCAATTCGTATGCCAAGTCGCACCCTATTGTCCACTATTACAGCGGTCATATCGGTGCGGTTCCGACTTGGTCAGAGCCGCACCGATTTTAAAAGTAATACATGCACTACTTTTGTTGCAATTTGCATACAAATCTGTGTCAGATGTCTTGCAAATCGCAACTGAAATCGGCAGGTCACCCGATTTTGAAATCGCGCGACTTCACTGTAAGTCGCATGATTTCAAAATCGGCTTTGATGTGACCGTGGGCTTAAGATGGAGTTATTACTGAAGAATACTGAAGCAATGAGGTCTCTGGTACAGTAATACAGCAACATGAACATACAGTCTTACTTCGAGCCAAACGTGTTAATACTATAAAAACATCATAATGGAGAACTTACTGGACATTTGGAACTCTGCAAAGGCCACTCTCTCGAGCTGCACTCTGAGAAGCTCACATGGAGCGTCTTTCAGCACTTGGAAGAGTTTCACTGCTTTGCTGTAGTGGAGATCAGCTAGAACACGGTGTTGCTTTCTTGAGTGCTCATCCCCCACCTGTAGAAAAAGCAGGTACTGTGATACAAGCTGTCTGTACAATTTTATTTTTGGTAGCTGCAGACAGATTAGAAGAAAGCTAAAAAGCCCTGCAGGCAGGAATTTACCCCTAGGCTCTAAGCCTGTATACAAATGATATAATGGATTGTCAGAATCACATACCACATGGCCAGACTGAAAGTGAACCTGCCAACCTTTACAAACCACATATGCACTAGCCCTACCCCAGGCTAGCCATACACATCAAGGGCTAAATGAGAGAAACCATTTGATGACTCCATCTATACGAAAACAGCAATGATGGAAGAATCTCTCCTGCTAGCTGTGGTACTCTGACAGCCCCTGCACCTACAGCGATCAGAATACCCAGACAGTGACTGCATTTTGGCTGCAGTCACTATTCCGCCAAAAATTTTCCACTTGGCTTCTTTGATTTTCAGATGGAAGTTTGTGGAAGCTGGGTGGTGCCAAAAGGTATATGTAAAGCGCTGCATAAATTGATGGCGCTATATAAGTACCTGAAATAAATTCTGATTGCGCAGGTTACTGAAATTTAAGTTGTCTATGGCCAGGATAAGCCATGCAATGAATGCTTTTTCATTTATTAGTCAACAGCCTTATCAGGTTGTCCCCATGCTCAGACACATTGGGGGAGATTTATTAAAACGGGAGCGCGTAGAATCTGGTGTAGCTGTGCATAGTAACCAATCAGCATCTAAATTCAGCTTGTTCAGTTAAGGTTTGTCAATAAACCTATAAACTGACTGGTTACCATGCACAGCTGCACCAGTCTTAGTATCTCTTAATGCAGGAATGAATGGTGGTGTGACAAGCTTGTGTGATGTACAATAAAGGATAAGTTAACCTTTTGACGAAAAAATAATAAATGCACATTTTTGAAAGTAAAAAATGTGCTTTTATTATTTTTTGTTGCAGGATCCTGTAAAGCATTGCACCAGCAATCAGCAGATTGCTGATGCCATGCAGGTCTCCCGCAGACCTGTCAGTATATCTGTGTATCCATACATCCCATACTGACAAGCAGATACACTGACAGGAAGAATCAATGAACTACCACGGAGCATTACAGCGACTTGGCAGTTCATTGAAAACTACAAGCTGACAGCAGCTAAGGCTGTCAGGACTTGTAGTTCATTCATAGAACTCTGCGAATGAATGACACGGCCATGTGGGCAAAGCTCCACAGGGCCATGCTGTTTTTAAAAAGTGATAGCTTTGTACTGCTGTCTCAGAGAGGAAGGGGGTGGGGAGAATCAGGCAGCGGCAGCAGGATTTGAACATGTTACATGCTCCACCCTAAAAACGGTTTAAAAAAACTCTAATGCTGGAACACATGTAAAATGCCACTACATGCTGCAGACGATATTGCCCATCAATACTGATTAACATAAGTAAGTTGACTTTATGCAGATAGGTAAAACAGCTGGCATTGTTAATGTCTGAAAAGGAGCAAAACTACATATATAATGAGCAAATGTAATGTAAAAGCCAACAATGGGGCATCACAGTTGGATAACTAGCATTTTCAGAATGTAGTCAGCAATAGCAGTCTCCATATTCCTCTCATGACTTTAAAACGCAACCCCAGTTAAACACTTTCATGGTTTGGAAAGAGCTGAGTAAGAGTTCGTTATAGAAAAAAAACCTGCCAGAGGTTGTGTCACTGAAGCCCCCTGTTGAAGGTGGAAAAACTGTCCAAAAGGGACACAGACATGAATAAAAAGCACATTTTAGTAGAAGAGAAAACAGCCAGAACTTCTGACATGTGCCCCCCCCCCCACTCTTTTCCAAGCTTCACAGGAACAGGAAGGGTAGAGAATTGCCCCAATAAGGTCAGACAGACATATATAGATATTCCTGGGAAGAACATCCTTATAGAAGACCTGTACCTGGTTTCTCAGACAACTGTGATACATGGAGGCGAGTCTGTGATGGATGGTTGCAGCACGGTACTGACATAAAGGCTGTCGAGCAGACACAGTTTCCACATCACAGTACTTTAAGGACTTCATCATGGCTTCTGTCACTTCTCTCTCGATCTGCAGGCAACACAACAGAACAAAAACCACGTCTTCATATCTTTTATTGCGATAATGAACCTCACCAGCAGCAACATTCAGTACATGTGACTTCTGGTAAACAGGCAGTTTGGTCCATGCTTTTACTCCCTACATCAGTACTATACACATTTGTTATACAGTAGGACCATTCAAGTAAAATGAATGAATATAAATTTCATATATGCTTTGATAAATATTGAACTATATATAGCTTGGTCTTGTCTACGCAAGTATCTGCATAAACATTGTATGGGTATGGGCATGCAACTCTGGACGCACCATGGAATGTGGCACTTTTTTCCAGCTCAGCATGGGGAGATGCAATCCATTGCATTACACTGTGCTGCAGCCAATAGAGATTAATAAAATTTCACTTTGTGACATACAAAAAAAAAAGTTCAGTGTGTGATGCACTGTTTACACGTAGCACACCAAACGTTAAAGCATTTGGTCTTAAAAAAAAAAGGTAAAAAAAAAATTTTTTTAAATTAAAGTTTTTGGTTTTATACTGTTTGTTTTTTTTTTTTTTACTAAAAAGATAACTGAATAAATTTTGGCCAAGATTTATGAAGAAAGATTTATTTGCAAAATTTTATAAGAAAAACACTTTAAATTTTTTTTGGACTTTTTCATTTATATAGCAAAAAAAAAAAAAAAAAAATCCAGTGGTGAATAAATACCACCAAAATAAAGCTAAATAAATCTTCAATAAATGCATAAATGTATATTGAGATTTTGGACACTTTTCTTATTCCATCAATTGAAAGGATGTTTGGTGATGCTGACATTTTTCAGGATGATAATGCATCCTGCCATAAGGCAAAAGCCATGAAAACTTTCCTTCAAGAAAGACATATAGGGGTTTATTTACTAAAGCTGGAGAGTCCAAAATCAGACTCCCTTCTGCATAGAAACCAATCAGCTTCTAACCTCAGCTTGTTCAATGAAGCTTTGGCAATGAAACCTGGAAGCTGATTGGTTTCTATGCAGAAGGGAGTCTGATTTTGGACTCTCCAGCTTTAGTAAATAAACCCCTCAACGTCAGCGGCATGGCCTACAAATAGCCTGGACCTCAATCCAACTGAAAATCTATGGTGGCAATTAAAGAAAATGATCCATGACAAGGCTCCAGCCTGCAAAGCTGATCTGGCAGCTGCAACAAGAGAAAGTTGGATCCGGATTGATGAAGAATACGGTTTGTCGATAGCTTGAATTCTCTGAAGCATGGATTTAACGGTTAGAAAAGCCAGAGGTGCTGCACCTAAGTACTACTGGTGTACGGTAGTGTTTTTTTTTCATGATTCAATAATATTTTCCTCAGAAGAGTGATTCCATATTTTTTTCCTCTACTTGATCTGCAAACACAGTTGCAACTGACTAGTTTTTTTTTTTTTTTTTTTTTTTTTTTTCAAGTGTTTTCCAGCCAGAAGGTTGGAATGTTAAATGAAAATAGTTTTGAGGAATGTGTGCGATTAGTTTGAATGAACATTTTCCAAGAGTGAGGATTCCATACTTTTTGCCCAGGGTTGTATACTGCAAATTTCAGGTCAGATAATTTCTGTGCTTGAAAAGCAAGTTAAAGGTTATTGCAAATATGGAGAAAAGCAACTGATCATAAACATTTTCTATTGTTTGAAGGTTTTAAAAGAAGCTTTTGGCCATTCTTGCTATTGGAATTTTGTATGAAAGGGTCTAGAAAAATTGTTGTTCATAAGACCGGCATTATGTTATGTCCACGCTGTTCCTTACATTAGACCATGAGGGGATGGATGCACTCTACAGTGCTGTGTAGTATGTTGGCACTAAAAACAGGACATTGTGACTCATTGGACATCTGGAGAAGGCAGCTGATTAAGGCAATTCACTGCATAAAAAGACAATGGATAATAAGCAGCCATGAAGGGTGCAGACAAGATACTGTATATTCCATTTGCAAAAAATGTGTTGTGCTGCTCTTTATAAGTGAAAGATAATCACCATCCCTAAAATCCCATACAGTGCAAAAAATAGGATGTATAACAATCTATCATGTGTCCCACACAATCCACATGCGCAAGTCCTGCAGTATCCAACAGAATACAATATGCAATTCTCCTGCTGGAGATTGTGCCCTCTTCCCCAGTGCTGTAAAATCCACTCTCTGTGCACCACCGCAAATCGGGTGTCTGCAATGAACCCTAACCTTCCCATATGGACCTATTTAAATTACAAACGGGTCAGAAGCACTTTTTCTCCACCAATGGGGATCTGCATAGAGGTCTCTGTAGTTCTCCAGTCGCTCTCCTCCACTGCACACAGATAATGGTAAACTCCCACAGAGGAAGCCGCCATAGTGTAGTACATAAAATGCCCAATTATTTTTATTAAAATTACACTCAGAGAAGTTGGTAGTGAGTGTACTTAGTAGAGGATATTCTGATATTACTTGATTTTATTGTCTGTGTAGCTTCGCATTTTTTTTTTTTTTTTTTTAAGTACTAGGAGAGATTGTATCTGTAAAACTATTTGGTTTTATCTATGTCCCAGGATGTGCCTATAAAATCTGTTATTGGGAGCTGGTGGACACTAGTGCTCTCCTCCAGTCTATCTTCCCTTTTTTTTGTTCTATTAGTTTGGATGTGGCACTTTGAAAGTCTCTATTTTATGAACATTTTTGTACCAGATTTCCCTCGTAGTTCTTGGAACAAACATTCGTACACACATTTGCACATTCTTTGTACATCTGATAAATGGACAAATGTCATTCGAAAGAACATCAAAATTTTGTTTGCTTTTAAACATTCAATTTTGGAATTAATGCAACTTCCTGAACAAAAACCACATAGACCGGTAGAAATTAGTTCATTTGAGAATAATTTTCCATCCTGTTCCTTTGAATTTTCTTGTCACTGCAATCGAAGACAAATGTCGATTTGACCCCACTAACGATTAGAAAATCTAAACAAAAAAATGTTCAGTGATATTCTACTGGTATCTGGCCAGCTTTAGGAAGCCCTATGCATTCTTTCCTACAAGAAATGGAGATCAGCTCTGAGAACTGCATGAAATACACAGTATGATCACATCAGCAGACTAGAAGCACACATACCTGCTCCTGTGCTTTCCTGGAGATGGGAGCATAGTCCTGCAACAAAGTGGCCATTGTAAAATAGGTGGTGGACAGCTCCCAATATACAGAGTCCCACACAGCCTGATGGGTATCTCTTTTATCTAGAGACTTCAATGCTTTGTGATAGTAATCAATGGCCTGTAAAAAGATAGATTAGGCACAGTTAACTCAAACAAATTTGTGTAGCAGGTTATGCCAATAGTTTGACTGTTAAAAGGGTGAGTTCACCTTTAGGAGCATGTTAAATGTAATACCCATATTTAGGGTGTAACATGTTCCAATGCACTCACCTCCCGCTGCCAACACTGCCAACACTGTTACAGGAGGTGGGGATTCTCCTCCCAGCATCCGCTGCATCCGCTGTCACAATTCAAAAACAGCATGCCTGTGCGGGGCCTCGCCCACATGGCCCCTCATTCATTCACAGTGAATGGACTACAGGTACCATCTTCCATTCCGGTAGGTGGCTTGTAGTTCTCAATGAACTGTGAGGCAGCTAGTGAGCTACCCCACACATTCAAGGAGGATGGGGGAAACGTCCCCTCTTCACTGTCAGAATATATAGATCAGTGCCGCAGCCACTACTGAGCAACTTTTTTACAACAGGTCTGTTCAACACACAATGTATTTTTGACAGAAAATTTATTTTTCTGCTCTAAAGTTCAATTGTAAGTGACAAGTTCACCTTTGAAGATTAATGTACCATCAACTTGGCAAATACATACTGTTAAAGATTTGTTTATTTTCTACCTGCTAGCCATTGTGTGTATTCTAATCAATACCACCCATCACATGTAAAAACTGAAAAGGAAAAAACACAGAAGTGATCTAGATAGCGCAGATATGACATATATTAATACACAAAATAAAAGAAAAAAAAAAATAACACTCATAAGCAGGGTGTATTCAAGCCACAGACGGCTATCATTTCCAGGTACATAACCCTAGGCAGTCAGTGCTTGCTCATAATTAGTTGGCTACTGAGGATGAAATAGCCCAAAAGCAGTCCAGGCAGCAATGGACTTAAAACAAAAGTTAATAAAAAGACTGAAAATACATAAAAAACTGACTGTGACAGATATATACCTGTGTAGACTTTCAAAATCAACCTCTTTCAACCTTGTTACCCCAGAGGAACCCATTAAATAATTTTCAGGTCACAGGGAACCCCTGCTAAGGGAATTCAATCAGGGGTCATTAGGCAAATCCTTCTTACATTGGTGGTCAGCGCTGGTTAGAATGCTTCCCTTACAGTCAGCTAAACAAAATTATAAAAAGGCACCATTAGATGTCATGTCAATCACCAAAACAAAAGCAACCCCTAGCAACCTCTAGAGAAATGTAGGTGTTCCAGGGTACCCTGGTTGAAAAATTGCTGCTCCAAACACTGCCACTGACATATTGAGGGCTCTTCCTCTGAGTTTTGAATTCTATATTAAAGTGGAATTATAGGTTGTTGATAACCAAGTTTAAATATGCTCCCTTCACCTTCTAAATCCTATTCTAACGACCCTGTGAAAGGAGGATGCTTATACTTACCCATTCTTGGGGTGCTCCGGTCTGGTTATGTGACCAACTTCAGGGGAGAGGAAGGACAGCTGACAATGGATGTCCCATAGCAGGCTTATGGGCGACGTCACTGCCCAGGCATTTCAGCCATTAGTGATGATCTCTCCTCTCCCTGAAGTCGGCTGCTGGGGGATCATGTAATGCCCTCAGAATAGGCAAGTATAGGCATCTTTATTTCACTGGGTAGCTAGAATAGGATTTACAAGGAGGGTGGGAGCAAGATTAAGCATAGTTAGGCAAAAGCCTAAAATTCCACTTTAAAGTGGATCTTCACTCTCTCAATCAACATGGACTATATTTTTAATCCTTATGCAGCTAGAATTTGTAAATAGATAGAAAAGTATATCAGATTTACTTGTGTTAAACTTTTTTTTTACATTTCTTCAGTTAGTTCCTTTTTTCTCTACTTAAGCAAATGATGTCATACATCCCAGCAGTCTTCAGTAGGGGAGGGTTCTCAGCTCAGCCTATGCCTGAACGAAGGGTAAATGGATTCCAAAAAGTAAATGATACATGAATCCTCTGCCCTTAATCAAGATGGCCACTGCCAGAAATGCTAGGGAGGTGTTTCTCAGCAAAATAAAAGCAAGGAGACATGTATAGATGGGAGCTGCTTTGAATATTAAAAATGCGCTAAATAGCCTTTTTGTTTTGTGGTACTCAGATGCAGTGCAGTTCCATTTTAAGTTTTGTTGAAGGTGACCAGCTGCCAGGGTTGTTTTTTGGACTATTCATCCCTATGATTCAGCTAATAATGAGAGCACATTTACTGCCTAGGATTCCATATGCAGAGCAGAGACAGCTTCTTGTGATTTGACTACATATTGCTTCTGAGAGTATGATTTCTTTTGCTTTTTTATATATATATATATATATATATATATATATATATATATATATATATAATGGGGGGGGGTACACTTTTAAAGGCAAATAGACTAACACATCCACCCAAATTAAAATGGTGCCTGGAGTTCAGAAAACAGTCAACTGTATAGTTATAACTTTTTTGTATGGCTCAGAACGGTACTGCTGAAAACTAATAAAAATGCCACAAGCAGTCATGGAATGTGTTATCACAGCAGAACAAATACGGGGGATTGCTTTAATAATGTACTGATGTGTTCTTTCACTCCTCCAGCATTCTGTGTTAGTCACAGATGGTAGCAGAAGAGTAAAAATATATGCTTGGAGGGATAATTGAATATGGCTTGTGGTGCAAGCTTTTTAAATGCTTAGTTCTCTTTATTATTCATGTTTAATAGAATAAAATATTATCAAAACATATTCAGTTTGAATAGCAGGCAAGAGAAAATATTAACCAAGTTCGGTAAGTATCAATGAAGACTGTATGGTTTCCCACTGCATTGGCCTTGGAGCAGAAACAGACTTGCAGCATGGGCATTAGGTAAATAAGCATCCAAGAGTACACATACTACACTTAGAAAAAGATATATTTTATATATATATTTTCCAGTACTAAAATAATAAAAGTATGTATGACACATTATCACTGTGATGATTAACACACAGTCCCACCTTGTTGTAATAAAGAGCCTCCTCCGGAGAGAACTCCCCCCTCCTCTCATCATTTCCACTTCCACAGTGTGCCTGGGCACAGATCCTCATCAGTCGCCCCAAGTTACACAGCAGGAGAGCCATGTTCGTGGTGTCCTGGATGGATTCAAAGTTGGTGATTCCTTTATCAAAGCTAGAGAAACTCTTCTTCCACATGTCCTGCTCTGCATTGGACACGCTTTTACCTGCTGGATAGTATAGGAAAAAATGCTATATTTTGCTTAAACAAACAAAAATCATACATTTAAGCAGTTGTGTTCACCCATCATGGGAGTCTAAAAAAAAAAAAACCCCAAAAAACATGCAGTTAGGCTCCAATCACACAGGCGTAGTTAAGTGTACATCTGTATTAAGGACTGTGTATGCCCATATGGGACGCGCAGGCAGTCCCATTTATGTCTATTGGGATCCAGCACCTGCAGGGTCACAGGCGCTGGTTGCAACTAGACAGCCATGCAGGCGCGGATAAATGCCCCTGAATGCACACTGTGTGCACCCGCACTGCTGTCAAATTGGGTTTCTGTACTTGTGCATCCCACATGGGCAGGTACATCCATGGACATGTTGCCTTACCAATGGAATCCAATTCATGAACTATAGGTGCTCAGAAATAAGAGTGCTCACGACCAGACATCACAAAAGGACTTCATGCTCTAGCCTCTGTTTTGTAACCCATTTATAATAAGTAGGCCACGGCGAGAAGCCTGTGCTGTCTCACATAGTTTTCCTGCCTAAAACTGCAGAGAGCTCCATGACTGATCACATGACTGGGCTCTCCTCCCAAGAGGAGCACAAGGCACATTTGTAAAGCACACTATTGTGCGGTGTTTTCTAAAGCATCGGTAAGAAGGCAATACTGCTGATTTATAAGGCACTGGAATTTTAAAAGAGACTTTGCAAACAGGAAATTTTCTCATCAACAAAGCTGAAAATGTTCTCTTCTCTCACATAGCAGTGATCAGTGTTATGCGCATGGGAAACCTCATCTGTGATCTGTAAAGGGAAACACTTAATCTTTTTGCCATGTATACGTGTGCAAGTCTCTGGGCTGGTCTGACCTGGCTGAAAATGGGCAGTCTCCATGACAGAATATCAAACAGTCATCATAAAACAGCTGCTATAAGAATTGTTAAGGACTGCATTTGCTAGTTGCCTGGCTTTATGTTGCTTTAAAGGCAGATTTTTTTTTTTTAAACATTCTATACTGATTTGCACAATGGTTTTGCATAAAGCATCCCTGATCCTCCTCTTCTCGGGTCCCTCGCCGGCACTCCTGGCCCCTTCCTTCTGCCACATGCTTCACAGCAAGCAGCTTTGGGGGCACCCAAGCAGGCTTGCTCTCACGCTGATGCTGTGTGTCCCCATTCACAAACAGATGTGGCTCGGCCCCTCTCCATGCTCTCGCATTGGCTTACTGGCTGTGATTGACAGTAGTGGGAGCCAATGGCTCCCACTGCTATCTCAGCCAATGAGGAGGGAGAGACCCAGAACACCCGAGGCTCTCATGCACATCGCTGGATCAAGATTGAGCTCAAGTGTTGGGGGGACTGCAGCACACAGAATTCTATTAAAGTGCTAGCATCGGCATGACAGGCAGGAAACTAGCATTCTCAAAAGACCAAGATCAACACTTGTAGCCTACACAATTCTTTGAGGACAAAACAGCTGTGGGGTGGGGAATGCCCTGGGCACAGATGATGGGCCCGTACAGGTGATAGCTTAATGGCAGGCATGCATCTGTGGGTCTGGATCCTAGTCCAAACACACCAAAACCCACCTCTAATCCCGAGAGTCTCCCCTATTCATAGATCATGTTACAGGCAGTGTAAACAATGAAAACATCTCAGCAGAGGAGGCCAAAAGCTGCTCAGCCCAAACCCAAACTTAATAACCCCTGCAGCACGAGA